TTGAAGTTCGAGAAGTTTCACACATGATAGCTCAGCAAATTGGCTGCCTGAACAAGACCTGAAGAAATGTGTCAATATACATACCAATATAGAAGAAGGCAATCTCACATGGCTTCACCCATAGACTAAAGGCAAATCGCCGATGCCAAGAGGAGGAGAAACAGTCCTCTCCAGGGATGAAATCCGTAGTTGGTTTTCTAATACCAACTGGTCAGCCTTGAAATCATGTACATCTAAGTAACATTATATAGACTAAACCGGTTGTATGTATATATTTAGACAGTAATTTTGAGAGGGGGCAAGTGGGAAGGAGTGAGATAGATACATGGGAAGGATTGGAGGAACAGGAAATGGGAACATATAATTACACCTCATTTAAATTTTTTAAAAATTTATTTTTTTTTAAAAAAGAGGACATGATTTTGGTGCCATAGAGAGATGGAATGGACCTGGGATTAGGGTGAATTTGAGGCAAATATATTTAAAATAAATCATGTGAAATTCTCAAAAAATTAACAAAAGTGGCCAGGTGTGCTGGCACATGCCTGTAATCCCAGCACTTTAGGAGGCAGAGGCAGGCAGCTCTCTGTGAGTTCAAGGCCAGCCTGGTCTACAAAGTGAGTCCAGGATAGCCAAGGACACACAGAGAAACCCTGTCTCAAGAAAACAAAATTAACAATAATGTTTGTTTGTTTGTTTTTTTTTTTTTTAAAGAAAACTTAGAACTGTGTGTTAGCAATACAGTGGCTTAGAGCTGCTGCAAGGCTTTCAAAGACTAACCATGCATAAAAAGGTACTGATTCTCAGAGTATCCAAAGGTCAAATAAAAATTTTAAATGAAAATAAAAGGTGAAAACATTAAGTAGACCTTATTCTCAGTTTTTGCTGAAAGCAGAGCAGAGCAGATAGTATAGATGCTCAGGGACCTAGCTCACAAGATTTCACCAAAATAAACAATGATCCAAATTATATAAATTTTGAGGTGGTTTGTTGATGTAGCAAAAAAATGAATTTGCTTCTCCTCGTTGTAGCAGATTATATCAATACTACAAGAAATAAGTTTCAGATGTTGTTGAAGGAATATTCTAGAACTAAATTATTCAGTTGCCCCAAAACATTTTGATGAGTAGCCCTAAAAATATGTACCAGCCCAAAATACCATCATACAAGATGAGGGGAAAAAACTAAAAGTCAAGCTCCTTTCATAAGATTCCCTGCACTCTGCCCAAAGGTTGGCCATAAGTCTCAGCATCTGCTTTGATACCCTGCAGGGTAGAGCCTTTCAGAGGCCCTCTGTGGCAGGCTCCTGTCCTGTTCCCTGTTTTCTCCCTCTTCTTGATGTCCGCCCTCTTTGCCTTTCTGAATGGGGATTGAGCATTTTAGGCAGAGTCCTCCTTCTTGATTAGTTTCTTTAGGTGTACAGATTTTAGTAGGTTTATTCTATATTATATGTCTAATATCCACTTATGAGTGAGTATATACCCTGTGTGTCTTTCCGCTTCTGGGATACCTCACTGAGGATGATCTTTTCCTTGTTTTTATTGCCGAGTAATATTCCATTGTGTAGATGTACCACAATTTCTGTATCCATTCCTCAGTTGAAGGGCATCTGGGTTGTTTCCAGGTTCTGGCTATTACAAATAAAGCTGCTGCAAACATTGTTGAGCAAATGTCCTTATTGTGTACTTGAGCCTCTTTTGGATATATGCCTAGGAATGGTATAGCTGGATCTTGAAGTAGCGCTACTAATTTTCTGAGAAAGTGTCAGATTGATTTCCAGAGTGGTTGTACAAGTTTACATTCCCACCAGCAGTGGAGTAGGGTAGAAGCGGGAAATAGTAAGACCTGGAGAGGACAGGAGCTCCACAAGGAGAGCAACAGAACCAAAATATCTGGGCACAGGGGTCTTTTCTGAGACTGATACTCCAACCAAGGACCATTCATGGAGATAACCTAGAACCCCTGCACAGATGTAGCCCATGGCAGTTCAGTGTCCAAGTGGGTTCCATAGTAATGGAAACAGGGACTGCCTCTGACATGAACTGATTGGTCTGCTTTCTGATCACCTCCCCATGAGGGGGGAGGAGCTTTACCAGGCCACAGAGGAAGACAATGCAGCCAGTCCTGAGGAGATCTGATAGACTAGGAAGGAGAGGAAGACCTCTGCTATCAGTGGACTTGGGGAGGGGCATGTGTGGATAAGGGGGAGGGAAGTTGGGATTGGGAGGGGAGGAGGGAGAGAGCTACAGGGGGAATACAAAGTGAATAAAGTGTAATTAATAAAATTTTTAAAAAAAAATTCAAGCTCCAAGGACTGGAGAGATGGCTCAAAGGTTAAGAACATTGGCTGTTCTTTAATAGGTTCTGAATTCAATTCCCAGCAACCATATGGTGGCTTGTAAGAGTGAGATCTGGTGCCATCTTCTGGTATGCAGGCATACATACAAACAGCACACTATATAATCAATAAATATTAAAAAAAAAAAAAAGTCAAGTTCCAGCTGAGCATGGTGACACACACTTGTAATCCCAGAACTCAGGAGGAGGCAGACACAGGTGAATCTCTGAGTTTGAAGCCAGACTGGCCTACAAAGTGAGTCCAGGACAGCCAAGGTTATACAGATAAAACCCTGTTTTGAAAAAAAACAAATAAAGCCAAGCTCCAAAGTTCCTCTTCTTTTGATTCAATCTAAACAGTAGTAACTCCTCTCTCTAAGATGAGAGGGTAAATGAAGAACACCCCAGACACAAGTCCTTTCTGGTCACCTTTTTCACCGGTGTGGTTCCTCAGTGGAGAACAACCAGAACTTTTTCTTTTTCAGTCCACCCAGGAATCAGTTAAATGGCTGAGAAGATGATGCAGCTTGTACGCAACTCTGGGTCATGTCTGCATTCCCAGCACTCCTAGAGGGAGTTGGGACACAGAGACAGGAGAATTGGCCAGAAGGTGGGGAGTTAGCATAGCATAACAGAAAAACAAGATATCTTGCCTCAAAAACAAGAAGAAAAGAACTGACGCCCAAAAAGTTGTTCTTTGCTCGCCGTGTGTCATAGTATGCTGTAGTAGTCCTTTATGTTGTGGGTGGTTTTACATCATATTCCTTTGCTCCCAGAATAACAGTTCATGAGACTCATTAAATATTATACAAATACCTAAGCCATAGAGCTATGGTTACCTGAGCTCAGGCACCATGCATCCATGTTCCTCACCTCTTGCTGGCTGAATCTCATGGCCTGGCTCTCCTCCAGATGTCCCACTATTTCCTGACTCAGGCCATTTGCTTTTTAATTAACATGTGTTGTATCTGTACAATACACAGGATTTCTTCCACAATAGGAAGGAAGCATGCATACATGAGCTCCCACCTGCTCGTACACACAGAGACAAACACACAATAAATATCTTTTTAAAACATAGCTACAGCTCAGGCCCTAAGATCTATAAGTAATAAATGGGACCTCGAAGCTGAAAAGCTTCTGTAAAGCACAGGACTCTAGTGATAGAACAAAATGGCAGCCTACAGATTGGGAAAAATCTTCACAAACCCCACCTCTGACAGGGTGCTAATATCCAGAATATATAAAGAACTCAAGGAATTAAACAACAAACCAAATAATCCAATTAAAAATGGGCTACAGAGCTAAACAGAATTCTCAACAAAGGAATCTCAGAATGGTGGGGACATACTGAAAGAAATGCCCAATGCCCTCAGTCATTAGGAAAATGCAAATCGAAATGACTCTGAGATTCCATCTTATACCTGTCAGAATGGCTAAGATCAAAAACTCAAGTGACACATGCTGGTGAGGATGTGGAGAAAGGGGAACCCTCCTCCATTGCTTGTAGGAGTGCAAACTTATACAGCCAAACTTATACAACCAGATTGGAAATCAATCTGGCGCTTTCTCAGAAAACTGGGACTACCCTTGCCTCAAGATCCAGCTATACCACTCATGGGCATACACCCAAAAGATGTTCCACCTTTCAACAAGAAAGTTTGTTTGCTCAATTATGTTCATAGTAGCTTTATTCATATTAGCCACAACCTGGATGTCCCTCAACCAAAGAATGGATAAAGAAACCGGGGTACATTTACACAATGGAATACTAGTAAGCCATTAAAAACAAGGAAATCATGAAATTTGAGGGCAAATGGATAGAACTAGAAAAGATATCCTGAGTGAGGTAACACAGACCCAGAAAGACACTCATGGTATATACTCACTTATAAGTGGATTTTAGTTTTATAGTACAGTATAGACATCCTACGATGCAGAGACCTCAAGAAGATAAGTCCTATGGGCATCTTGGGCTTCATGTCAGCTCACTAGTTAGGGGAGTGGGGGATATCTCTGACACAGACTATGTTGCCTGCTTTTTGATTACTTCCCCTGATGGGACTTCCCTAATAGGCAGGGAAGACAAACTCTGTCCTCATGTGAATATATGAACTAGGATGTCTGAGTAGGGGGGCTCCCCTATTTTAAGGAATAGGAGAGAGGGACTGCAGAAGGGAAGGTGGGACCGGGAGGAGAGGAGAGAGAGGCCTATGACAGAGATGTTGATTGAATTAATTAACAAAAACCTGGAAAACCTAAAAACAATCATATCTAAATATGCTCCTTATATTAGCAATCTTGTATTTTGTTCACTTCTATCAATCCACTTATATATAACATTTACTATTCAGTATTCACTATAGTATGTTTTAGATAAAATATTGTTACTCAAGGGAAGCATGCACATGAACCATCAGACATAAAAAGGCATCAGTTTAAAGCTGCTGTGCTACCAGGAACTCATAAGCATCTTCAGCTTAACTGAGAAAGTCTCTTGAACTTCGATAGAACAAAAGGGGGGATGGTAACATTTAGGGCCACACAGTGAGTACTAACTCCTGTGAAACAACAGGAAGAGAAATATCCCTGCTTTGGGCGATCTCTAAGGTGAGTTCAGATCAAAGCTGCTGTGACACTATTGGACCTTCTGTTCCTCACAGCTTGTCTGGGCACATTCCGCGGTGGCGCATTCAGTGCTGCGCGTCAGTCTGTTCATACCTACCCTGACCTCAGGAGCTGTGTCAATGGTAAGCTACTGTTTAAATAAGTAAAATATATCTTGTAAGTAAAATGCACTGTGCCAATGTAACTTAATGTTTAAAGTTCAGTAACTGAGCTCCTGAGGGGCTATGGCAAGCAAAGACATATTTTTGAACTGCATAAAGAAGCATATTTTTCAATTGTAAATGCATCAATTTTACTTAAATGAAAATTTCTCTTAACATTTTAACTGAGTGGTGATCAGCGATAGTAGGCTTTAAGTTACTGCTGTCAGACATTTTATCTCTAGCATCTTTATTTTGGCTAAAATTGTGTAATTACATGGTAATACCAAATAGTACAGTTTACTAATAGATCAAAGGTAAGAGCCACGCTCATTCTTTTAAGTTTGGGGAATCCATAATACAAATATGAAAATGTGTGTATCATAACAGCCTTTATTCTCTGAAGTTTCTACAAGGCCTACAGTAACCATTATGCAATTGTTGGGCTCATTTCCTTTTATTTAGGCACCAGATTTTCCTTCAGCATCTTCTCTAGTGTTTGAAAACCATTATTTCATGTTATTTAAGGCAAGAAGTTTCCTTTTACTTCATCTTCATCTAAGTTGAAATTGCCAAATTCCATCACTGTCACACAGAGAATAGTTTGCTTGGTTTGTCTTCCTCATGGGACTGATATAAGGCTCAAATCAAGGAAGTATGTCCCCAGCTTGATGGTGCATGGCTTTAATCCCAGCACTTCAGAGATAGACAGATCTCTGTGTTTGAGGCCAGCCTGGTCTCCATAGTGACTTCCAGGACAGTCAGAGCTAGACAGTGAGGCCTTGTCTCACTTTTTCTTTTCTTTTCTTTTCTTTTCTTTTCTTTTCTTTTCTTTTCTTTTCTTTTCTTTTCTTTTCTTTTCTTTTCTTTCTTTCTTTCTTTCTTTCTTTCTTTCTTTCTATTTTATTTTATTTTACTTTTTTTTGATATAGGATTTCATGTAACCAAGTCTGGCCTTGAACTAGAGGTATAGACAAAGATGACCTTGAACTCATGATCTCCCTCTTGAGGTCCTGAGTACTGGAATCACAAGGCATGAGCCACCCGATGAGGTATATGCAGTGTTATGAATCTAATCTAAAGCTTTGCACATGCTAGACAATCACTCTACCAACTGAGCTACACCCCCAGGTCACACCTATTTTTTCATGAGCCAGTACTTTTTGAAAAATGCATCATAGCCTTACTGGTTATAGGCATGCAATTATTCTATTCCCCTTCTGGCTATTCCCTCTTCTTGCCTGAAGTAAAATGGGATGGACATCAGAACAGGGAGAAAACAAGGAACAGGACAGGAGCCTACCACAGAGGGCCTCTGAAAGATTCTACACAGCAGGGTATCAAAACATATGCTGAGACTCATAGCAAAGCTTTGGGCAGAGTGCAGGAAATCCTATGAAAGAAGGGAGAGATAGAAAGACCTGGAGGGAACAGGAGCTCCACAAGGAGAGCAACAGAACCAAGAAGTCTGGGCCAAGGGATCTTTTCTGAGACTGATACTCCAAACAAGGACCATGCATGGAGATAACCTAGATGTAGCCCATGGCAGCTCAGCGTTCAAGAGGGTTGCCCAGTAATAGGAACAGGGACTGTCTCTGGCATGAACTCATGGGCTCCTCTTTGACCACCTCCACCTGAGGAGGGAGCAGCTTTACCAGTCCACATAGGAAGACAATGCAGCCAGTCCTGATGAGATCTGATAGACTAGGTCAGATGGAAGGGGAGGAGGACCTCCCCATCATTGGACTGGGGGAGGGGCTTAGTAGAAGAAGAGGGAGGGAGGGTAGGATTGGGAGGGAATGAGGGGGCTACAACTGGGATACAAAATGGATTAATTGTAATTAATAAAAATAAAATAAAAATAAAAAAAACATTAAATAGAGGTCTGTTTTCTTTAGCCATCCCAGACCAATGTGACCCTCTTCCATGCAATGAAGATGGGTATCTGAGCTGCAAAGATGGCCAAGCTGTTTTCACATGCATCTGTAAACCAGGCTGGCAAGGAGAAAAATGTCAATTTGGTTTGTATGAAAAAATCCACATCCCCTGGCTTTTCTGGGCATGACAAATTATCTGAGGTGGTATTTCTTTAAAAATATTTTATCTTCTCTTTGTAGATGTAAACGAATGTAAAGATCCTTCAAATGTAAATGGAGGCTGCAGCCACATTTGCGAGAACACTCCTGGAAGTTACCACTGCTCCTGCAGAAGTGGCTTTGCCATGCTCTCAAACAAAAAAGACTGCAAAGGTAAGAGCACAGAAACAGAATACAACTGCATTCGCTGTGTGAGGCCAAAGTTTAGTAGAGGAATTTCCCTGGCAAACTTCTGGAAAACACTGTGGTCAGAAAATTACTTACAGCAAACGTGCCACTATGTCTAGGAGCTTTGCGATGCTCAGGATTCCACCTGAGTTTACGTTAGTAATATTTTATTTTATCTTTAAGTGCACATTTTAAGGATTCATTTAGTGATAAATAAAGGTAGTTAAAGCACTTCATTCAAAGGAGAGGCTCCATTGCCACCGACTTTACAGAGGCATTGTCCTGTTTCAGAATCATCGTCCACTCTTCTGTTGTTCCGTAAGATGAACAGCAGCTACACAAAGAAATCCGGAGCTCTTAATAACATCACTGTTATATTTTATCTTTGCTCTGCAGATATCTCTTTCTGATTTTCAAAGGAAATGGTTTATTTGGTGCCTCATTTCCAGGCATGGTTTTGAGAAAGAATCTCTGTTTTGCATTCTCCTTACACATTGACTGTTCCAACATTGCTCTTATGTCTTTTTAGCTTTGGATTTCAGCAATCTGTCAGGTTAGCTTTTTGTATGTTGCTAATATTATTCTTATGGCTTTCTCTATGAATATTTGTCTCCCAAAGTTTTTCTTTTTTCACCTTAAATACTTGCTTCATTGGACTGCTTGAATTGCTGTAAGAAACCTACAAATTTTCTTGGTAGGTGAATATATAGCTCAAACCAGAATTCAGAGCCTGCTGTAAAATCTTTCCACAAAGCAGAAACCCTTAAAAAGAACTTTTTAGTTAAGAGGTAAAAAATTCAGTAGGTTAAGTGTGAAGTTTCTTTGTGTAAGTCTTTATTTTTGTCTTAGAAAATCCCCCACCTGAATTCATATTTAAGGAATTTTCCATCTGCTTGGAAATATTCAGTATTATATAGTTCGCTATAGTGAAATTTAAAGTGCTGTGGAATGAAGCTGAAATGAAATGCATTTACTAGCAGTCTTTTCCAAGCCATTATCCAATTTGTGCCCATATATCTCTCTCAACTGTCTGTTTGAAGGTTTTAGTTTGGCTATTAGAGTAGGGATGCCATTAGAAAAGCAGTTATAGAAAGCCATTGTAGTTCAGGATAACACATACGTTATATAGATAGTGCCCATTCCTACTTTAACACTTAAAAACTTGAATAATCTATTCTTATTCAAATTTTGTGAATATTTCATATCCACATTGAGTTAACATATGCACACACAATTATTATTATTAGTTTTTTTTAAAAAACGCTTTTTGCTGAGAATACAGTTTAGAGGTGGAGTGCTCGCTTAGCCTGTGGAAGCCATGGATGCATTTCTCAGTGCTGTCAAACAACCAACAGAGTGTTTCTCAAGATCAGGACACATGCCTTTCACTCTTTCTTTGCATAGCAATTTATCTGAGATATGCATCAGAGCACAGAATTTAAAAAAAAAAAATGTTGCCTGCTCTGCATCCCAAGTGCTGGAATTGTAGGTATGCACCACTGCGCCTGGCCTTATTAAGAATATAGTTGAGCCTCTTCTTTCGTACGTCTCCCTGGTAGATAAGAAAATGACTAAATCTCTTTCTTTTTGCCTCTCAACTATAAAAGAACATCAGGCAAAAATTTCCCAATGACTTTTAATTCAAAAGTCATATTGGGAAACTAAAACGTGGTGATAATTTTATTATTTTGCTGTTCCAAGGCTACTCTGTTGATAAATAATCCACATATATGCGATTCAAGAAGCAAATAACTTTTTATTTGATACTGGTAAACTGAACATATTGCTTTTATTTGCAGACATGGATGAGTGCTCCCTAAAGCCAAGTGTTTGTGGCACAGCTGTGTGTAAGAACATTCCAGGAGACTTTGAATGTGTATGTCCTGATGGCTACAGATATGATCCCTCATCAAAGTCTTGTAAAGGTAGAATGATGATGGTGTCACTGCTCATGGGAGAGAGGGTGGGTTTGGACCCTGAGTTATTGTAAAAAAAGGTATTGCTTTTGCTAACTCCTGATGTAGCTTGGTTGATTTGGTGATCTGGCTTCCTCACAGAATAGAAGTACTAAGTTAAGACTCATGGTCTTTGGGTTTAATACCATGCATTCCATTTAACCCATTAAACTAAATAAAAAAATAGAGACTCCCTTTGTTATAAAAGCAAAATAAACACATTTTGATAGCTTAAAAGAAAAGTTGAATTCAAAAGAAAAAATCCATATAGACAAAAATGACACAAGCTCTAATTGTGGGACTGAAACTATGGGCCTTAACACCTTAGATTTTATTTAATTTTTTTTCAGTAATTTTCTCTATATTGGTAGGTTATTTTAAAATAGGAAACTGGCTGAAGAGATGGCTCAGCAGTTATGAGTATTTGCAGCTATTGCAGAGGATCTGGATTCTATATGACTTTTTCTAATTATTTATAGTGCTGTTGAAATGTTGATGTTTTACTTTATTCTGCCCTCACATCATACATTTCTACTTTCCACCATTCCTCATGGCAATTAGTGTAGGAAATCTAGTAATTCTCAGATACCTTGAAGCAGAGATAAACCGGGTCCTTGATTACAACAAAGACTTTCTAACTTTGGGTGGGCTTAATGAAGGAGTTTGGGTGCTAGTTTGCAGTCACAGAGCTTCCACAAGTCAGGTCCTTCTCTTATTAATTCAAAGGATGAATCTTAAGGACCACCTGGGAGTTAAGTTTTAGAAAGGAATTTATGATAATCTCGTAGGTAGGTGTTTAAGAAAGCACAAACCAGCAAAGCTCTGTGGGGCGGCAGGTGCCCAGAATTGGGGTACCATTGAGCTGCTCATTTTGGGGCTTTGTTTAGGACTTATGGCAGAAGATGTTGGAAGGTGAGTTGTCTGTCCAGGACCCTGACGCAAAGCCTAATCCAGGTGCCTGAAGTAGAGTTTTGGTCACCCTCAGATATAGCTTTCTAGGCAGCTGTGTAAAAGGAGAGGCAAGATAACAAGAAATCAGACCAGAAACTAAAGTTCTACTGGCATTTCTGGCCTCCAGCAATGACAAACCTTGGACATTTCGAGCCTCTGGCCAAGGATCTGAATCAAAGTCTTTGTTTCTAATCTTCCCTACCAGACTTTATTATCTGCTCTCATCATTATTAGCAATTTTCATCACCTAGACTATAATTTCATTTGCTAAAGGACAGCATTTTAAATGTTTTATATATGAGTACATATATGTCTTATTTTAATCCTATATCATACAATTTTAATGCATCTATAGTATCATTAACTCTGGAAATGTATTTTAAAGTATTTAAAAGAGCATATATTACATGATGGTGTTAATAAGAACTTCATAAATTTATAATAGGGTGTATCCAATGAAATGTCAAGGACTTTCTGTAGCCCTGAAACAGTCTTTAGCTTAGGCATGTTATTACAAAGTAGAGAGTTGGGGACAGATCAGTTAAAAGATTCCAAATTATTTAAGATATGAAAAAAAGGACTTTAGTATATGTCATTAAAGTTATGGCCACAAGGTCTTAATATCACCCAACATGATTGTGACAAATATTCATTATTCAACATTGTTTATGGTTGTACTTTACAGTGGAAACAAAATGATGATTAAACAGACATACTCTCTCCACTTAGAAATTTCAGTTGGAGACACATGATTAAATCAACACATGTCATGATTTTCAATACGAACTGATGAAAGAATAAAATACAGTTATTCTAGAACATTAAAACAAAAGATACTAATTTGTTGAGAGATGAAGGATTTCTCTTGAGAGAGGCAGAAGCGTTTTGTTCAAAACATCTCAGTGATGAAAAGAAGTGAATATGGGAAAGGCTGGCCCAGCAAGCATAATCACAGGGAGGAAGAAACAAGCTCAGTCGGCCAATGTATTGATCAGCTATATAGAAGGACCCTGAATCTGAAAGTCAGCATTCAATGGCAAAGGTTGTGAGGAGGACAGGATAGCAAATGAGTTGGGTAGATAATTCTGTCTATATATGCATGGTAGATACTTCTGTGGATCTGAATTACTAAAAAGAAGCTGAAACTACAAAGGGTAATAGATTGGGGGCTGTAGCTGGGATACAGAGTGAATAAATTGTAATAATTAAAAAAATGTGATGACTATGAAGAGTTCTAATCGTTGGGGGTCCAGAGCCTAATTACAGTTTATCTTGGGCTGGCTTAGTCCTTGTCCACCTCTCTGTCAGACTAAACATCCTGTGACTAACAGATAAATTTATTACCCTAACACACCCTAGTTTTCAACAAACAGAAGATAATGTAATGCCCATCGGCTTTTGCATTATCTACTTAATGTTGTCACTGGTGTATTTAACAAGTACCTTTATTTATAAATTTATTTGTTCTATTCCTATAAAAATTTCATAAAGTTGCTTTTGTGTTGGAGCCTGGGATTAATTGTAACATAAATCTCTGTTGTTGGGACAGTATTATTCCTGTTTGGTTCTAGAATAAACCGCTGCTTATCCCTTTGAATAAAAAAAAAAAATATGGCTAGTATTAATTGTTGCCTTATTATATTATTATAAAAGTTGGATGTTTTTGATATTGTTGGTTTATACATTTTGCATTAACTTTCAGTGAGTTAATGTCAGTTGTTCCCTCCCTTTCACTGTCTTTCCTTGGATGTCGTCACCTTTATCCTCCTGCCCCTTCTGATTTCTTCTCCTTTGCCATTTTTTCTTATTTTCAAAATGAAGAATTGTGAGGTGATTATAAGGAAATTCTCATAATCAGAAATGACAGTGGAGACCCTAAATAATTTTCTTTAAAATGAAAAAAAGAAAATTAGCATAATTTCTACACTATTTTTAATTATTGAAAATTATAAAAAATATGTGAATATATACATAAAATTGCACTTGGAACTCCTTTACCTTTTTAGAACAAATGTTTAGATATACTGTCAGAGCTGTTCTGATTTCTGAGGAACTATGCCTGTTTGACTGAGCATTTAGCAGCTATGAAGGGTTCTTCTCCTTTCACCTCAGATGTGGATGAATGCTCTGAGAACATGTGTGATCAACTGTGCGTCAATTACCCTGGAGGCTACTCTTGTTACTGTGATGGGAAAAAAGGATTCAAACTTGCCCAAGATCAGAAGAGTTGTGAGGTAAATTTTTTTAATTCAAAGCTCTTACCAAACTAAGCACGGTGGTGCACACCATTAATCCCAGCACCTGGAAGGCAGAGGCAGGAGGATCTCTGAAGTTGGCCTCTGGTCTACAAAGTGAGTTCCAGAACAGCCAGGGCTACACAGAGAAATGAGAAGAAAACAAAGACAAAACAAACAAAAACTTCTTGCCTTGTTTCTGAAATGAGAGATCTAGGTGTTACCAGAGTCCCTGGTCCCTGGCCTGATGATCTTCACTGAAAGAATTCAGTTGAAATACAGAACACAATGTGGAAGACAGGTGAATTTACTGTAGACTAGGTAAACATTCTCTCAGAGGGTAAGAGTTTTTAGCAGCCAGAGAAAACATTGCAGAGCTGATGGCTCTCAAGGGATGACTATGAAGAACATTCTCACAAGTTGACAATACACAGTGCCTAGACAGTACATTATGGCCATAGGCAATTTAGTCATTGTTCTCTTCTTCTTCCTCCTCCTCCTCTTCTTCTCCTTCGGCTTACAAAATCACTAGGATAGACAACTTTCCTGAGTGCCATTTTCCTGCCTAGATGATTGACAGGCCTATTTGGTTGATTTTCACTTGAGAGGGTGATGCCTTTGTCCTTTATCAGAAAGCTTCCAGCCAGATCGTTATCCCTTATGAAGTGTTAGGATCCTGGAATCAAGTTTAGATAGTTCCCTCTGCAATTCATGGTGACATGTCTCCTCCCAGTCTCAGAGACGGGTGTCAGATCTCACTTCTCTAACCAGTAATTAAAGTCTGTCAGTTCTTGTCTTTGGTTTTCCAAGGAGCTGATTATGAAAAGGTGGCGTCTCCATTGTCCTCTAGTCCCACTAAAGGAATCTTACATAGAAATTTTAGTGATAGCATTTTCTGCTGTCCGTCTATATTACATTCTGGAAAGCCTGCACACTGCTTGTTTGTGCTTATAAGTGTTCACAAACTTTCTGCTAAAGCAAAATTGTCACAAGAAGATTTAACATCATTAAATTTATCACAATTCAGAGAACAGTTGTTCTTCATTGTGTCACAAGCACAATTTTCTTTTTTTTTTTTTTTTGCAGTGTGATATGTTTTTTTTTTAATTTTATTTTTTTCTTATCAGTTACATTTTATTAACTCTGTACCCCAGCCGTGTCCCGATCCCTCATTCCCTCCCAGTCCCTCCCTCCCTCCCTCCCTCCTCTCCACCGTGCCCCTTTCCAAGTCCACTGATGGGGTGGACCCCCTCCCCATTCATCTGATCCTGTTTTATCAGGTATCTTCAGGACTGGCTGCGAAGCCCTCCTCTGTGGCCTACCAGGACTTCAAGCACACTTTTCAACACTCAGATTTAATGCATAGTTGACCCAAGAAATCAGTTTGCAGAAAGGTTTTAATTTTTCCCTTATTGAATAAATAAGTCAGCATTTGACCCGCCCTCACCTTCCTTCCTTTTATTTTTTTTCCTTTTAAGGATAATAAGGTGCACATGCTAGTGATTCTTTCTAGTCTTCATTTTAAAACATGTGAAGGGGAAATGATAGATGATTGTGAGTCAGACTGTTTAAAATTCTTAAATAATGATTTCACTGTGTATAACTATAACTATACACACAAACACACACACACATACACACACACCAGAAATGAGTCAAGATATGCACAGAAAAACCAATCAGTCAATCAATCAATAAACAATCATTCACACTATCCATGTGAAGAGAGAGCAGGAGGCTAATGGATGTAGGTAGTAATTCCGTGGCTACTCAATTGAAAGGCTATGTAGTAAAATTTCTTATTTTATATTTTAATTTCTTATTATTTAAGTATGTTCACTTGAACATACTCCTATCCACCTTGGAATGGTTATGAAAAATATTCTTTCTGGGGCTCTATTTAATAACTGTGGAGAATTCATTTCGAAATGTCCTTCACCTGAAATCTCATCTCTAGATAAATTTCTACTTTAATGTTTCTATTCAGCTTTAAGAAATGAGTACTCGATTAAAAAAAATCACACAACTTCAAACCATTTTCATGTAAATTTTTAAAAAAATGAAAAAAGTTTATTTCCTCAGTTGTCAGTATTCTCTTGAGTATCCAAATAGCACAGTTTTGCTCACAATACTTTTTCTTAATAACCGTATGAATAATTTTCCGATATAATTAATGTGAGGCATTGTACAGTTTATTAAAGACATACTTGCTGGGTCTTAAAGAAAACATTTATGTTTAACAGCAAGGTGTGTGAAAGAAATAATAAGGATAATCTAAGGCCACACACTCATATTTTTAGGGAATTTGTGCATAGGTATTGCAAGGAAATGGAAGATTTTCATTGTTGTTTGCAAAGACATTCTAATGTGAGTGTTTTTCAGAGACTATTTTGGGCACTAAAGATAGAATACAAAAAACAGACAGTAATCCATACATTTTCTTTTCTCCAGGTTATTCCAGTGTGCCTTTCCTTGAACCTTGACAAGAATTATGAATTATTATACCTGGCCGAGCAGTTTGCAGGAGTTGTCTTATATCTGAAATTTCGATTGCCAGAAGTCACCAGGTAAGGAACCAATGACAGTCAGAATTCATACAGGTTAAACAGTAAAGGATAGAAGGGAAGACAAAAAATATTGACAGCCATAGATTTGTTATCATTATGGTAACTTGGGTATATTACCATTTAGATGATCTTTCACGTGTAATTTTCACACTAGAGCCTTTTCAAATTCAACAAGGCTCATTTTGCCAATGTAAACTTACTTTATCCTATCATTTTCCATTTCCCATTAGTTACATATTGACTAAGAAGCTGGAAAACCCTTGTGAAATGTTCACCCTTCTTTTATATATTATAAAACCTAAGTGAAAAAATCAGTGTATTGATGGATTATTATTATATTCAAAACTAATAACAAAGTGGCTTGAAATATTCTAAAGAAATGGTTACTTGGTTTGGAGATTTGAATACCTCAGCTTCTCTTCTTGTAGTTAGATTGAGTTTGGAAAAAGTGTTTTTGTTCGTGCTTCTCGGTCATGATTTTAATTTGTCAACTTTTCTCAATGCATACGTGTTGAAACAAGAAGCAATAAATTAGAATTTTGTTGTTACAAAGAGAAGGAAACATTGTTTGAAGTTTGGAGTCTACCTAACTTTCAAAGTGTATTAAGTAAATAATCTTGTATGTTTAGAATTTACAGAATCATTGTTTACTCACTAGCCAATTTAACTTTCAAAGTATATTAAGTAAATAATCTTGTATGCTTAGAATTTAAAGAAACATTGTTTACTCACTAACCAATTTAACTGAATGTGTAGAACTCTTACATGGATGAGCATTAAAACTTATAAAATTTATTTAAGTGGGTGTGTTTCGTGGAGATTCCATTTCCCTCAATATCTGGTTTTACCACAAATATTTCTGAAAAAAAAATTTTCTAGTGAATGAGGTTATTGGAAATCCTATTTTGCTATAAGAACAATGAGGATGAAAGAGAAAACACAATACAGCTGAATTTACTTTCATATTATTTATTTCTTTATGACAACTCAGCCTATCTAACTTGATACCTAACAATGGATCAGAATTAGCAAAACAACTTTCCCGGTATTTTTAGCTTCTTCATTGATTTATTTAATTTACACTCTCAGAACTGTAATATCTTTCATACATTACATAGAAGAGGCACAGCTTGATAAATATTTATAAAGTGATTTGTTTAAAGCAAATCTCTTCACCTCTCTTTTACATAACCAACTGCTTCCCTTAGCTCTGCCAAATGTTGACAAATTCTGCCTTGTTTCAACTCTGCAATACTTTGGAAACAGAATAAATTGATCCCCAATGTAATGAGTCAGGATGCGATGATGTATTCCAGAAAGAACATATGCAAAAAAAATGACTCTTTGAAATACCATTTAGCTTTATTTTACAAAGAAAAGGAAATTATCTCCATAATAGGATCAACTTCTGGAAGATCGTGACCAAACACAGATTTAGTTTTTGGCAAGATAGTTCATTTTTTACATCAGCCAAATGCTCACACAATTGTGAGAAAGGACATAAGTCCTTATGCTAAAGGAAGTAGTTCTTTATTTAAAAAATAAAAATAAAATAAAAAACAAGAACAGGTCATTGTATTTCTATCACAGTGTTATCTATCCAGCACAGTTCACATTTTATCCCTTTCAGAAATTCAAAACATGAGAATATTTGTTCAGCCTCTTTTTCCTTGTTCCCTTTGAGGACTGTCTGTCCCCACTACAAAAACTGCCTTTGTTACTAACATGCAATAAAGTGTGAACTATATAAATATTTTGTTGACTTATTAACAACAATCAGAAGTTCTGAGACTTTTAACTCTTTACTTGGTCTTTAATTTTTTTTACTTAGTTTACATAATAGATAGCTATACAACTATTTTTTCCTTTTCTTATTTGTTTTTGTTTTAAAAACATTTTCATTGGCAGGTGCCTTGGGGATCTTCATGATGATTCTTATTAACACATCGTAAGGGCAGGCACTCAATCAATACCCAACACCCATAAGATTTTTCTTCCCTGTAATAGCTATAGAGTATACATGTTCAGATTCTTGGTGACAGCAAGCATTATTATAGTGAGTACACAGTCACTCAACAACTAGCTAGACTATGTTTCCTAAGCTTAATTCTCATGCATTCTTCCACTGCTATTACAGTGTTTGGAAATCTCTGGAAAGTTTTTCTCTTTCTCTTTCTTCCTTTCTGTCTTTTCATTTTCCCTTCTCCCCCCCCCCTTTAATTCCCTCTCTCTTTTCTGTGAAACTTTTTATTCACTGAGAGGAAGAGCCTCAGACCTTCCTGGAAGCCATTTTCTTCATGGTAGCCCCTCTAGCTTCCCTTTGGTGATAGAGAGCCACGCTTTTTATAAGAAGAAAGACACACACTACTCTGATCATGTCTCTCACGAACCTGGTGTGTTACGTACAGTGCTCAGGGCAGCTACTGTGGCAGAACTACTCAGGGAAGAACGGCAGTTGTTCATGGTCACTTTTTCTTGGTTATCCCTTGAAGCTCACAGTCCTGATCTGAGGGTAATGCAGAGCCACGCTGTTTCTTTTTAATGATTACGTGAAAGGCTACTTATATTTTTAGTCATCTAAAAGCTGTGTTGCAGAGATCCTTTTCTGTCATATGTGAAATCATAGAAGCACATGCCTTTTGCTAGATAAAACAAGTATGCCATTGTAACATCTTTTACTAGTTACAGGTGGATTCAGTAAATGCGCGCGTGCACGCACACTCCTCTCTCATTTTTCTCTTTCCCTCTCTCTCTTATACACACACACCTTACTCTTATATTTAGAGTGTATAAAAGGCTCCTGTAGCGTGTACATTCTAGTATCTGAACGATGTCTTCGAAACACATATCATAAGTGAAAAAAATTACCAAAATATTGATTCATTGAGAACAAGACTATGAATAATCAAGAAAACATAATAGCTTGGTTTTGAAATATATATGGAATCAGAGACAATCTATGAACAACTTAACTCTGCTCTGTTAATTTTTTTTTTATCTCTCTCTTTTAGTATAGTACTGTTTGCCAGTTCAAGGCGTGCATGTATGTTGGGGGATCATTGACCCTTCTAGATCTCTCACAAGAATAGTGTCTTTTTCCTTAGATTTTCAGCTGAATTTGATTTCCGGACGTTTGATTCAGAGGGCATTATACTGTATGCAGAGTCTCTCGATCACTCAAATTGGCTCCTGATTGCTCTTCGAGATGGAAAGATTGAAGTGCAGTTTAAGAATGAATTTTCAACCCAAATCACAACTGGAGGCAATTTTATTAACAATGGTATATGGAATATGGTATGTACAGGATTTCATAATTAATTTCCTTACTTTGATGTACTTTTTGAAAAATTATCAAGTGGTAGCAAACTAAAATATGTGACCAATGTTGGTCAACCAATATTATGTGACAATCATTCTACACACTCGGTCCTGGTAGCAATTGAGAAATTGTTCCTTTCTTTATTTGAACTTCTCTGTTTTTAAATTTTTACTCTTTTAGTAGCTGCTTTTGGGGGAGGGTGGGTACTGGATCTCCCTGTAGGACAGGAATCATTAGCAGGCACAGTTAGTATAAAGACACCCCTGATCAACTAAAACTATACTTATTTGTCATGAGCACTTTTTTTTTTTTTTTTTTTTTTACTTAGAAAAATGCATGCAGTAACTACCAAAAAGTCAATTCAATTTTAAATATAAGGACATAGATAAGTAGCCAATTTTAAACAAATAGCATATACTTAGGAGATTTAGTAACCAGACTACTTTAACATTTTTGCATAATAATAGTGATGAGTGAAGCAGTCATGGCTTACATGAAGCTTACATTCTAACACTGCTTGGCAAACTGCAGATAAATTGTATCAGATACTTATTGATGTGATGAAGAAAAAGGAAAGCAAGGCAAGGCATTAGTGAGACACTGACTGTTTACATAGTTAGTGAGCATGTGAAGTCAAAGAGTCGAACCTGACAAGATTCCATCTGGGCAGAGGCTTAAGACAACAAGTCATGAAAAATATGGGCGAGATTATAAAATGATTCTGTGCAATGTGAACAGCAAGTTCCAAGTCTCATGGGGAGGATGTGTTTGACAAATAGCCTAAAGATGAGTCTAGATGCATCGGAATGGGAGAGAAGAATCATTTTTTAAAAAATGAAGTCAGAACTGAGGTCTATAACATGGCCACCTGGATGAGGGTTTTTGGGGACCATAGTGAAGACTTGGATTTTATGCTGTGTGGGAAGTCCCTGGATCATTTTGAGAAGTGACAGGATGTGATTTACATTTTAAATGATCTGATCAAAATCTGATGGCTTTTTGGAAACTAGCCAGTGGAGAGTAGTGCAGAGGTCTCAAGAGCATTGCAGCAACCCAGAACAAAGAAGACTGTAGCTTTGGTTGGCGTGCTCATGGTGGGGTCGGTTAAAGTGGACACATTTTGGGGACATTTTTTTTATTGTAAGTCTTTGCTCAAAATTATGTTCATGTTTTGAAATTGGTATTCACTTCTGTGATGTGAATCCACAGATATAAACAGCGTACAACTGGAGTTATAAGTGAATCTAGCTTATGCATGCAGATTTCAACTCAGGGGTCACGCGTGCAGGTACATGAATCAGAAGCATGTGTCTTGAATTATGGCCAAACTTTTTAACACAGAAATGCAAAATTAAGTCTTGGAAATATCGAAGTGGTTTATACTCTTCAAAACTCAAATGTTGCTTGCAACAGAGATTTGTGACAGTTAAAGCATTCAAGTGACCAGCAATTCCCAAGAAATCAATGCTGGTCAAAGGGAATGAGAAGAGTTTTACGTTTTACTGTGTCCACATGCTATTGTTTGCTTTCTGTTATTGATTAGTAAGCCTTTGCTTTGGGAGTGCGCCAGTCGTAAATGAAGCAGTTACAGCAACCGTCTTCAGATTGTCTAGGATGAATTTTTACTCGTGCATACTGTCACTTCTAATCATTTTTAAAAACAAGCACTTGGTTTTTAAGTACTAATTTAAATTTTGAAAAGGTACAGTTTGTGTATGCTACAGAGAATGCTGGGCATTACTGCTTTCTTGTAATTCATATTACAAACTTATTATTTTATTGATTCTGTATGTATAATGCATCAGTTGCAAATGAAGAGTACTAAATATTTTCCTCATGGACAGAGCCTCATGTTTCTTTTTGAGAGTGTTTACTTTATTGCATAAAGGGATTAAAAGTATAGGTTATATTATAAGTGAATGTTAAAACTTAAGAATGTTAGTGGCTTTTTGTTTGTTTGTTTGTTTTTAGTAAGAGGTCCTTTTAATTTGAAATTAAGATCTATAACCCACCTTAAAATGTGTTTATATCACACCTGTCACAGTTATGCTCTCCAAGTGGGTTTGGACAAATTAAAAATTATATTAAATTGATTGTTATACAAAATTATTTAATAGAATAATATGATTTTTTTTCAATCTAGTATTTTCTACTATTTCAAATGGCCATGCAAGTGATGCTTGCCTTTTCTTATTAATTGTAGGTGTCTGTGGAAGAATTAGATGACAGTGTTAGCATTAAAATAGCTAAAGAAGCTGTGATGAATATAAACAAACTCGGGAGCCTTTTTAAACCTACAGATGGGTTTCTGGACACCAAAATATACTTTGCAGGTTTACCTCGGAAAGTGGAAAGTGCGCTCATTAAACCGGTAATGATGTCGCTTGCTCCTTTCATCTTGGGAGGATTCCCTTCTCTGTCATGGGTTTGAAGATAAGTTTTCATGACACGTGATGGAAGTAATTTTAGGAAACACACCAAGTGTGACCATTTGTATTGAACATGTGAAATGAACTTTAGACCATTGAAATTATAGTAAGGAAATAAAAAAATGACCATTGTGGTTTTGTGTCCATTTAAATTGCTTCATTGTTTTTTAAGCAGTGGGTTTGCTAAATTCTCAAGTTGTCAGCTCAGTGTTCACATTGTACTATTCCAGACTCAGCCACCAAGTGTACATTTAATGTAGCATACATTTAATCCCCAAATTATACATATATACAGACACACATATAAATTATAGCTATAGATACAGATGATATAGATATAGCCAAAGATCTTTCTCACCTTTATTTTAAGATTTAACATTGGAGGTTAAGGGCAGCACATACGGTGGATTGAACAAAATATAAGAAATGCTAATTACAACAGATGAATACAATGTTCTGAATACAATGCTTCTCAAATAACCATTGAATAGAATTCAAGAAATTAATTGTTATATTTGAAGAGTTTAAAAAAACTTCACTTGAATTCATGGCCCTGTGATCTGGTTGACCTAACTTAAATATTTATTACTTTATATCTATCTACCTATTTGTCTTTCTTTCTCTCTTTCTTTCTCTCTTTCTTTCTTTCTTTCTTTCTTTCTTTCTTTCTTTCTTTCTTTCTTTCTTTCTTTTTCTCTCTCTCTTCCTTTCTTTCTCTCTTCACTAACCCACAGTTGCTTTAACTTTTAATAGATTTCTATGTGATATTAAATTGGATTAACTAAACCATTCCAAAATCAACATTTCAAACTTTTGAAATTGATGAATTATGCTATTTTAATAATAAAGCAAATGATTCAGGAAGAATCATCCATTTATAAGGTGGGGGCCATGGCTCCTGAAGCTGGTTGGATGCTTTGGTTTAGCTTGAAGAGTACAACTCTTCTTTTTCCTGAAGAGAATTAGAATCTGCATGGGTTGATGAACCTATATTGAAAACACTCACACACACACACACACACACACACACAGGACAAGAAACAGCTTAGAGCTCAGGGCCACCTCAGAAATGCAGAGATGTGGGAAAAGCCGATAGGACTTAGAGTCGTGAATATTATCAGGACACCACCAGAGGTCTGCAGTGGTATAGTCTCATTTTATTGATAAGTATAATCTATCAGAGAGGAAAACTTTGATCCAATTAAAAGTATTTTAATAAACTGCCAAAGAAAGGGTTTTCAACACAAATTCAACCTACACTATCATTCATTTCTACGTAAGTTTAAAATGTACTCCTTGGTTTGTATTTTGTGGCATTAGATTAATCCTCGTCTGGACGGATGTATACGAGGCTGGAATTTGATGAAACAAGGAGCTTTAGGTGCAAAGGAAATTATTCAAGGGAAACAGAATAAGCATTGCTTCCTCACGGTGGAGAAAGGCTCCTACTACCCTGGTTCTGGAATTGCTCAGTTCAGCATAAATTATAGTAAGTGATCCCTGTTACATTTCTCCTTTCTATCTAATCATCAAATGCAGTCCTTGACACCCTGCAAAGACTTATTCTGTTAACATCACCAAGTGAGTGGCTGCTTTGATAGGCATTGTCTTATTTGTGTAGTTAAATACTTCTTATGAAAATTTCAGGAAAAATACACCGTCAAATGTTCTTATTAATGTTTATTGTTATTTAAAGTTTACTGACCTATAGCTTGCTTGGTTCATTGGGGGTGGATTCAATTGACTAGTTTTAAGGTTCACTGTGTTTGCAATCAGTTCAAGTGTTCTTTCATCAATGCATAGAAGACCACTGTATTTCATTTCTGTCATTTCTGGTGATGTGTGTTAAAATTCTTGGCTCTGCTGAGATTGCCTGTGTATTTAAACATGTTGTGTAGCTCATCCTGACCCTTCAACATGCTCATACTGTTTGTTTGATTGTTTGTTTGTTTATTCAGTTCTTTGAAATAGGGTTTCTCTGTGTAACAGCCCGAACTGTTTTGAAACTCACTTTGAAGTCCAGGCTGGGCCTTGAACTCTCAGAGATCTGCCTGCCTCAGCCTTAGTGCTGGGATTAAAGGCTTTTGCCTGGCCTTCATAATACAAATTTTAAGTTGCAGCAACTGTACTCCTGTAACCTTGAAAATGTTGTTTTTATTGTGTGTTGTTTTCTCATGTGTCTTTGTGTGTCCTATAACGTTTTGCTTTAGGGGTGGGCATTTTACATTCAATAGTAGAGTCTGACATGAACAGTATTTATGTCTGAAAAGAGCACACTGCTCCTTTGGCTGAGCCCTTATTGACATGGATATGGAGGGATACTGGTCAGTTTAGTTGGGATTTGAGCCATTTGTGGAATTACTACGTGAGGGTGGGATGATAAAGCTTATAAAGCCTTTTGTGAAGGATCTTGGGTTCACTTTCCTTCCTGAGTTCTTTCCCTCTGTATTGGTCCTGCCATCTACCCTAAGCCTCACAAGAGCCACCATGATGCTATTTAGTGTTCACCCTCTATAACTGTAAGCCAAATAAATTGCTTTTCAAAATATGTCACCTGGGCTGGAGAGAAGGCTCAGAGGTTTAGAGCACTGGCTGTTCTTCCAGAGGCCATGAGTTCAATTTCCAGCAACCATATGGTGGCTAATAACCATCTATAATGAGTTCTGGTGTGCAGGTGTACATACAGGCAGAACACTGTATATATAATAAATTAGTCTTTAAAAAAATATGTCACCTAGCTTCACCTATTATTTTTAATAGCTTTGGAAAGTGTGCTAATAATGTAATTGAAGTTTCTGTTTTGTTACTGTCTAGTTTATTATTTTAGGGTTTTTTTTATTTGTGTTTTTTATTTTTATTTTTGTAAGTAGAATAGAAAGTCTTTTCAGATTGAGGTCATAATTAAGTCTGTGTGCGCCTTCATAAATAACCTGCTGTGACCCCTCTGAGTATACATCCTGCATTTTGTGATGTTAGGGGGGTATGAAAGAATCTTGGAACTAGATTTTTTCCGTCAAAGATCCTGCAGATATGTAATTAGTAATTAGTAATATGTAATTAGTACAGGACTCATTACACTCTCTTCTAAAGAATAGTTATTGCAACTCTTAAAAAAATGCAGAAAGTCCATGCTCAAAATAGATTTCCAATCTGAGAGATCAAATTTAAATTTTCTGTGTCCTAAAAATATTATTTTGCTAATTTCTACTTAAGTTGAATACCTTTCCCTATATTAGTAGTAATTACTTGTATGACTTAGTCAGGTTCGTGGATCCAGAAACAGAGACAGAGTCTGGACACTAAGGGGTACATGCACTGCTTTTTTGTCAGGCTATCTGCTCGAGCTGGATGGAGGATGAAGTTCTGACCGTCAGTGGGCCAGGTAGCAGCTTCTGGAACAAAGGAATAGGTGTATTGATGTAGGAAAGATTCTTGCCTGTAGTTCCTATTCAGGTCCTTTTGTGCAAAATAGGAACTTAAACGTATATAGAATGTGTGGACCTGACTGGGCTGTTCAGTCTCAGTGGTGGGCAGCCCACTGGTCAGTTTTTACTTAACATAAAGCAGGTACCCAGGAGGCGGATCCTGTGAGCAACCTGCTAGCTGAGATCTTTGCTCTGCCTGCATAGAAATCAGGGGTGAGCAATGAAAAGCTCCGCAGGTCCTGAGTTTTGGCAGCACTTCATCCTTTAGTGTTTGACAGTGATAATGGTGGCAGTGGGAAGGCAGCAAGAGCAGCAGCTTGTAGCACTCTTTAGCGTTAAGACTGATATGTAGGCTTTGTCAACTAAGACCTTTAGTTCTGTAGTCACAGCCCAGGAAGTTGAAATCCCACAACCCTTAACAGCTGCTGCTGTTGTAGTGCCTGGCTCTGGGGTATCTGAGACCCTCTGGCCTTAAAGGTATTACAGCTCTTAGAACTCCTCTAGCAACCATGGCCTGCAGGGCCTCTTTCCTGGCTCTTTACACCTTCTAACCTCCACCCGCAAGTCTCTACCCTCTTTGCTTCTACCACTGCCTGATCCTGCCCTGGTTACTCTCTCACTCTTCAGCTGCTTCTTCTTCAGCCGTCAAGCAGCTAGTTGCCTTGCTGCTTTCCCCGCTAAGCCTGCTGTTGGCAACTCTTCTGTTGTTTCTGTTGCCACTATAGTTCAACGACCTCCTCCTCGTTGCCTTGATGTTGTTTGTACTGCTTCTGGATTCACATGTACCAGCTCAGCCCATACTGGTACAAGTGCCTACTTCAGAGAAGCCTTTTGTTAGTCCTGCTGTTTCAACACCAGAGGAAGTAGCACGATGAGCCAAACAGCCTGCTTCTATAGCCACAGTAGGAGCCTTTCCACCAACCACAATGTTGGCTCTTTAGTGCTGGTCTTATAAGTTCCTCTACTAGGCTACCAGGGTCAGTGCCCTTAGTCTGGTCTAAGTGAAAATCATTACAGGGTCATGTAGAGTCCTGTAGGGATGTGATAACAAAACAGCCCTGGCCAAGAGGCTGTACCATCCAGAGTTGAGCAATTAGCCTCAGTCGTTGTGTCATTATGTCACAGTATCTATGCAGTGTTTTAAATAGCTGGTGCTGGCATAAGGTTAGTCTGGCAGGCTCTTGGAGTGACAGACCTTTTGTTCAAGGCAGGAAGGGCAATACGAGAGAACTCGGCTGCTTCCAACCAGACTCTAGCTACTAGAGTTCAAATGGCCCATCCTCTGACCTTTTAATTTTGATTAATTTCAGGAAAATGAGCATCAGAAGTAATCATGCTAATAAGAACTCAAATTATTTTTAACATTAGTAATGATTTTGATTGAGTTTTCATTGTAATTGTCAGACAACTTATATTCCAAGCCCAGTTGAAATAGAGCTTCCGGATGCCCCAGGGACAGGTAGGCCCTTCCTCTGCTTCTTTCCAGGCTTATCTGCATGTCCAGGATGGGTTTTTAGCTGTCATAATTGTAACTCTGGGGCTGCCTGTGGGCTCTGGCTCACAGCTCATGTCTTTGTTTGGCTTTACAAGGAAAAAGCTAAGCAGAAAGGCTCCCTGAAAGTCCCCTTCCCAGAACATGATTTGTTAAAGAAAATTTTCCAGAAAAAGAAATCTAAGTACATTACATTGTAGCTTAAAAAATTACTTTAAGTTATTTTGTGGGTAATTTAAAACAGCTTACTTCAAAACTAATGTTTAATGTTTAACTTCCACACATTTTAACATTCATGAATTCAATCTTTTTTAATTCCAAAATAATTCTATATATTCTTTCTGGGTAAGAGTTATAATGAGAAGTGTAGTCTCATTATATGTAGCTAAACAGAACATTTAGCCAAAAGAAAAACATTTCTTCATTTGCTTTTACCTTTCAAAGACTATAAGTGGTATACAGAATATGCGACACTAAATGAGAAAGTCTTCATTTATATTATAAACTAATTTTTTAAAGTACTTGAATTTAATTAAGATAGTTATTTGTGAGTGACTATGTTCTGAAAACTGTATAGCAACTTAGAGGAGAAAGGGGTTCATTTCAGTCACAGTGACAGGAACTTGAAACAGCTAGTTACATCCATATCCAAGAGTAGAGAGAAATGAATGCATTCATACTCCCTTGCTTGTTTGCTTATGCTCAGCTCAAAATGTTCACTCTTTTACAGCTTAGGACCACCTGCCTAGTGAGTTCTGCCACCTGCAGGGGGTTGGGTCTTCCTATGTCAATAACTTTTTAACTAAGACAGTCCTCCACAGACCAATCCAATGTACACAGTCCCTCATTAAGAATTTTCTCCCAGTTAATTCTAGGTTATGTCAAGAAGATGATTAAAGCTAACCATCACAGTGTCACTGGGCAATTTCATTATTTGGTGAACGTCACAGAACAGACTTATATAAAGCAAGCCAACTATAACTTCACTAGGAGCCATAATCTTAGGAGAACATTATCATAGGTGTCTCTATCATTGACAAGACTATAATTATGTGGTGCATGACTGTACTTTGAAAACATAAATTCAGTGAGTATTTATTGTCTGCTATGAAAAACAAAGTGTTGATAGGGACACATATGTGCTATTGCCTACACTCCACTAGGCAGGTAGATAAGTAGCCTAGTAATTTAATTGAGACTAACGTATTAAAACAAGACTATCACAGAGCAAGAATCCCCAACCTAGTTTGAAAATTAACCATGGACTTCACAGCCTTTCTCTGTTACCAGACTGTCTACCTCTCCCTGTACATAGAACATATTTTTCCCTTGCATTGCTGGGGAATGAGTAATGGTGGGGAGTGGATGGCTTCTGTTCCTGTATTTTTTTCTCAGAAAGAATACAGTAAACCTGCTAAAGCTTCCTTCTAAATGTGTACTATAAAGTCCGGCCACGCTGAGGTCTGAACTTTGTGAATTTGCATGAGATGAAAGAGTTGTCAAAGAGAAAGCAGGGTAAATTTGGAGTACTCCTTAATATCACAATACAGAATCTTCCTCTTGGAAGAATGGAAAAGAGAGGACTCCACTTGCATTTTAAAAAAAACAAAACAAAACAACAACCCTGTTTTGTTTTGCTTAGGTGATGTATGTCATTGAGAAAAAGCATTAAAGTCTTTAGTGCTTCAGAAAGTACCTTTGAATATTAATCAGATTATAATAATTGATAGTTACTATTTTCTCTATTTTAATCGTCATAATTATTTTCTGTCCCACTTTGTTTATCATTTTAAATAGATAATGAAACCAATGTGGAAGGTTGGCAAATAAATGTGACCTTGAACATTCGCCCATCCACTGGCACTGGAGTTATGCTTGCTTTGGTTTCTGGGGACACAGTGCCCTTTGCCTTGTCCTTGGTGGACTCCGGCTCTGGAAATTCTCAGGTAACCAACCTTATTCCCTATCTAGATGAAGCTCTCTTTTTTTTTTCCCTGACTTGTTGGCCAATTTCCAAGGTTTAGAAAGAGAAGATATTGGGATGCTAGGAAACCTTTCATCTGGAAGTATGGTCACACAGGCTGCTTGGTGATATCACAACATGCATAGAAATCCACTCATGTTAAGGATCTGAGAAGCTTTCCGGGAATCTATCTGCACACAGAATAAGGGTGTGATAACAGTCCATTCTCAGCTGTTTAGGATACAGCTGGAATTGTGTGTTCTCCCTTGCACTTGTTAAATCTTTTACCCCACAATCAGATCAGAAAAAGAAGAGAAAACTGAAACTACCCCACTTGATTTCTCTTTACTAACTCCAGTTTGGAAATAGGAAGAATGGAAAGGCCTTAGGTACAAAGAAATGCAAACTTTATCAGGAGATCTATGCTTTTCCAGTTTCTAGTAATGTTAATAACTAACAGCTCCCTTCTTGTGTCCTGCACGGTGCATTGCAGCAAGTTTTTGGAAACAGCTTATGTTTATGCCAAGGTTGGATTTCTTTTGTTTGCACTGTAATCAACAGAAAGGTGGGATTCATTTTGCAAATTACAGTGTAATTTGAAATGAGTTTCTGGTGAGTAACAACTGCCACCCCACCCACCCCCGTCTTCCTGTGTATCCTTGGCTGGCCTGGAACTCACATGTAGACCAGGCTGGCCACAAATTCCAGAACAATGTTCACTCACCATAAATATCTTAACCTAAGAGGCAATTTGAGACTACATTTAGTATCTGGGAAGCATCATAGCATCTGTCTCTATTTTGGTTCCATTTTCTATTTCCTCTTTGCCATCTGTAAGTTAACAGCAGAGGTCACCCCCAACAAATTGAAAATTTGAAAATTCTAGCAAAATAAAACACTTCTTTTCTTGAGACTCTTCTGCTACCTACTGTAAGTATTGCTCACAAAGCCTGGTCTCTTTCTTAGGCCTCTTTACCCCCATTGTCCTTGGTCTATATGATTACTTAGATGGTGCAGGCAAGCTTTCCTGCTTTGATGCATATTAAAGGACTGGAATTTTTCCTCAACACAGAGTTCACTCTTTCTGTTTCTTATGCAACTTTTGAAATTAGGGATCCTTGTAAACATAAGTATTACTTAGGCATGTCTTGTTAGTTTTTCTTTATTTAGTGATACAACTCAGTTTTTTTAACTGAATATTCAGAAGACAATATACATTTACATCTTAATTATACTGGGATCTTGTAAATCTAATGTATGCTTGAAAATTAATTGTTAAAATTAAACGAACAACTTTACATTTACATGTAGAGGCTCCATTTTTTTTTTCCTTGTTGAAATTTAGTTTTTGAATTTCAAAGGAGCAAAGCTATTTCTAAGTGGCTTTACTCTCAGTGCTTGTTCATATGAAGTCTTTGTCCTACTCTTTAGGATATTCTGGTATTTGTTGAAAATTCGGTGGCGGCTCGAATAGAGGCCCTAACTCTGTGCTCTGAACAGCAATCCCAACTAAAATGTAATGTTAACAGAAAAGGACTGGAACTGTGGACATCACTTAGAAAAGATGTCGTTTACTCCAACGATCTTCAAGGGCAACTGGCAGTCTTGGACAAAGCAATGCAAGGGCCCGTGGCCACTTACCTAGGGGGCATTCCAGGTATTTGTCTACTTTATCTTCCGTTCTGAAAATGGGCTTTGAGTCAAATATCTTGTTTTTCTTTTCTTAATATTTTTTTTTGCGACATTTATATATATATATAGGTCTCACTGTCCTAGAACTCACAATGTAGACCAGGCTGGCCTTGAACTCAGAGATCCACTTACCTGTGCTAGGATTAAAGCTTTGCACTATCATGCCTGCTTAAATAGATAATATCTTAAACACAGAATTTTAGTAATATGGCATTGAAAGGGAAGACAAAACTTTCAGTATCCTTCACACTTGTTTGGGAGGCTTATACTAGCACTTTACTTCTAGTGAGACTAATTGATTTTTGATACATTTGGTTGATCTATATCACAAAGAATATGTCATTTAATTTTATTCTCATGATAATATCGTAAGCTTACCACTTATTCACTCTATTTATCACTTATCCAATATGTGTTTACTCTACATTTAATTCATCAATTATGAATATGTACCCAGATAAACAGAAAGTCTCTGCCACTGAGGCTTCTAACAGTTTAGTTCGGGAGACAGACATTAAACAAGTTAACAATAAGGAGATATCAAAGTAATTAAAATTGTGATGCACTCTATGAAGAAACATTACAAATCAAGTTTAGAGCGTGAAAATAAGGACTTGACTTGGTTGTGAGGGCCAAGAACAATCTCTCTGGATAGGAGAATATATATTTATATATTATCTGTATAGTACATATATATGTATATATATATATGTATAAATTTGGTGTTTACGGGATTAAGTAAATTTAACTAGGTGGTAGAAGTGGGTCCTGCAGTGCATATAGGTAGAATGGTCCGTGTGTCATCACAGGAGAATATAGAAGTAAGGTATATTGAGACAGGGGGTAGTCCAAGATGGGTCTGTAAAATAAGTAAACTGGTGACTTCCAGACTTGGCTTAGGGGCTTGTTGTGGAAGACCTGGGTATTATTACAAGGTAGTGGTATATAAACATTACAGTTTCAAATTTTAATTCTGGATGAATAAATATAGGGAGTGGAAGAAGCAAAAGTGGGTATAGTTCACTCGAGTTCAGAGGCTATGGACAGTCTGAAACAGTAATAATAGTATCAATGACCACAGTACATCGACAGTACTCTTTGACTTGCTTTGTAGACCAGGCTAGCATTGAACTCCGAGATCTGCCTGCTTCTGCCTCCCTGAGTGTTGGGATTAAAGGTATATGCTGCTGCGCTGGACTGTGAAGATTTTTTAAATTAATGTTTGCTTATAATTAATATATAGTTATTTTATGTACTCTGGGGATAAGTTACTGTCATAACCAGTGATGGCATTGTGGTTAAAATAATGCATAATCAGTGATGTTAGCGAAACTTGAAGAGGATTCCTAAAATATGCATTTGGCTGAAAGATATAGATTTTATGAATGTGTTGGAAAGGCAGAAATTTTGAAGTATCTATTTTTGGCATAATCTGCTCTGAGAAGGAAGAACAAGAGAATGTCCACTGTGAATTCAAATCCTTCAGGAAGAAATGCCAAAAGAGAAAAAGGTGTTTTAGACTAGGGTTCTTAGGAAACCATGGATGGTACAAGAACATCTAGGTCGAAACTTGGTAATGAGAGTGAAAATGCAGGAAAGCCCGAAGGCACTAATGACCTCAAATGACTCACTGGGGAACAATTCAAAACAGATTTTGTAGGACAATATTATCACATGAAAGTCAGTCCCTTATTATGACTAGCTTTTATGCTCAGCCAGAAGCTATTTCTTGGGAAATATAAAAAGCTGTTTTTATTCCAGAAAGTAGAAAAAAGCCATGTTTGCCGTGACATTTCAAAAGGATTTCGAAGACACCACCACAATTTAGAGTTGAAGAGGTGGCCTAGGTTCACTGTAATGTTGTTTACAGTTAAAGAGAAACCAACATTTACTACTTTACAGTAAATGTGGAATATCATGAACATATGCTTTCCTCTCCCCTTCAAGTGTGACCATTTTCCCTTAATTTGGTTGAAATGACTGTGTTTATGAAATGAGAAGAGCTCATGAACTGCTGAGCTCTATGCCTGGAGTAGCAGGCATCTGTTGAATAGAATCACATTGGTAATTTTTCTCGTAGGATTAGAATTTGTTTGGAATTGTGAAGTCTTGGGTAATTTTTGTAGCTGTCAACCAATCATATGCTGAATATTGGACTAATGGCCAGACATTGTCTTCCCAGACATTTCCTTCAGTGCCACACCAGTGAACGCCTTCTACAGTGGCTGCATGGAAGTGACCGTCAACGGTGCGCAGCTGGACCTGGATGAAGCCATTTCTAAACATAACGACATTAGCGCTCACTCGTGTCCGTCAGTTAGGAAAATCCAGAACTTATAACATCTGTTTTCTCTTCTCTTGGTGTGATTATGCTCATGTTTTTATCACCAGCTGGCAGGTGTTACCCTTGATGTGCAATGTTTAAATATCATGTGGTATTTTGTCCTTCAGATTTTTGTTATATACATCACGTTTTATAAAAAAAAAAAGTCTTTCTCCTATTGCTGTCTAGAAATTAAATAATGAAACACATGAAAAATTTAAATTTATTTGCTATAAATGATCCTGCTTTAGTTTTTTTTTATTTTAAAAGTAAAACTCAGCATCATTGGACTAGTATTTAAATATATCTATTCTTCTCAGAAGATGCCTCAGTTAAATCCAAACAAAAGGTCATGTGACTGAATGTTAACAGTTGCAGATAGTGCCTTTGCTGTTGTTTTCTGCCCAGGGAAGCAGCAGAGCTGACAGATAGCACACTGTATGCGAATTGAATAGAAAGTCCCAAAGCTTTATTCCAAAGTAATTCCTTGGAGTGGAGAGTCCCTAGCTCAAGCTTCATTTTTTTTTTTTTTTTTTTTTTTTTAGCCTGGCTTTACACTTGAGCCTACACCTTCACTGAATTAGAGAACAAGGGAAGATTTTCACAAGAGCAGCACAAGGAATGTTGCCTCGAAGGCATTGGTTTCTATCTGAGACGTCAGGTTATGCCGTAAAGGGTGTGAACACTGGGTGGACACATTCTTCAAACTAGGCTGTAGAGGCCACACTAGGTCTGAATCAGAAAAGGAGCAGCCCTTAGGAGTGGAAAGGAGAGTAAATGCATGGGGTGAGGGAGGGATTCACCCATGAATCCCTTTGGATTTGGATTTGGATTTGGATTCACCCAAATTAATTGGGTTTTAATTACTGTAGGTGGCTTGAATGTGATTATTGAAGTTAAAAAATGATGAAATGTAGAGTAGACTTTTAAGAAAAGGATAATGATAAGAGGGATGCTGGAAACTGTTATTTGTTCTGTCTTTGTAATGAAAGAAGCACAGACATAAAATTGTCAAGCATTTGCTGGTAGTGCATTGCATGTCCAGGCTGTTTGTTGTTCTTCCTAAATTGATTATTTTAGGTGTGTATCAGACATTTTGTTGTCACCTGAGAAATTGAGTTTTATTTTACTGCAGATGTTTTACATCACATGAAACATAATAAAATGACATGTATTTTTAAAATATATGAATCATTTCTTTATTTGAACAATTTGTAGCACAAAATTACATAATGTATGTCTAAGTCTTCCTGTACTATAGTGCCGAACTCCAGCTGAAAGTCTGGATGTCTGAAATATTTGGTGAACGCTTATATTGGTTGTACAGTGTTGCTCACAAGGGGAAGAAGAGCAAGAATGACACATACTGAGTGTCTCAAGCTGGCTAGACACGGTGTCGATCACTTATGGGATGTAGTTTTTCTCCTGCTGTGTACAATAGATGATGAATAATAGCAAGGCACTATCGATTATGCTACTATAAGTAGAGTAGGGTGTCAGGAGTAGGTGGCTTGGGGGATAAAGTCCTTGTACAGTTGTGATCCAGAGCATTCCTAAAATACAAGGCGTGACTGCTTGTCCTTTAACCATGGCAATGATGAAGAAAAGCAGAAATAGGTAGATCCTAGGGCCTCACTGGGCAGCCAATACAGTAGAAACTAGCTCAAGGTGCAGTAAGAAATATTATCTCAAAAGTAAAGATGGAGAGCAATTGAGATAGATACTCAGAGTCTTAACAGCTGTTTGACACCCCCCCACCATGCACATATATGTTCACAAAACACAAAGGAAGAGAGGGGTGAATGTGATCAAAATACATTACATATATGCAACACAGAATTATGCCTAATTAACTAAAATATGTTAATAAAGAAAAGGCACAAGAAACTGAGAAATAGGAGAAAAAGAAAAGAAAAAATAAAGTGAATTTTCATCTTCATTTTGGAGATTGTTTAATTCTCACTTAATCATACTACATACAAAGATAACCATAGAGGTCAATTCCAAATTTTGTATCAGAAGGAAAAACCTTTCTACATACAGTGAGGTATAATGGAGAACAAAAATAGTTGCAAATTTCATATATTTTTAGATACACTCAGTCACACTTAGAGAGGAGGGGTCTAATATTTCAGTTAGAATACTTGATTTGATCATGAATTTTGGTATTTGCTGTGAAATAGAAATGCCTGTTTTTAAGGAAATGGTGGAGGCAAAGGGCTTGAAGAACTAAATTCAACTGGATAGGAAATAATTTCATTGCTTGATAAATAGCTCCCAGGTTTCCAGTCATTCATTTCAGATTGTTTTCTTTTTCCTTTTCTTTTTAGTATGTCCTAGGAAATCAATGCAATGAACCTTCGGTTCAGTGCTTCCACATCAGTCCTTTACTTATTAACAGGATAGCTTTGATGATCTTTGGCATAGGTAACCTGCTTTAGCAACATTCAAACTTCCAGAGGCCTTGTCTTTGAAATTGGATCTTCTATAGAAGTACCTGTGTCTGCCTACTTTGTGTTTATATTTTCAGAGTACAAGAGTAAGGTGAATTTATCTGGGCCAATGTCTTGGGAGGCTTTGATATATGTTAGTATAAGCAAGACATGTTATAATACTTAATAGAACTATGCAGATTTCAACATTATTTTGCTTATGTAAATTGAACTTTGAGCTAGATAATGTCTAGAAAAACAGTAGAGAAAATATCTTACTCATGCTGTGATGTATTTAGTCTAGAGCTGCTGACTCATGCACAAGTAATTCAAATATGAGTCTGAGTTTGGTAAGGTCAGTAGCAGAGAAATAGGCCGCTGCAGGAGATTATGAGGAGGGAGAAATGGAAGTTTAGTGAGATGCTGGCTGAATGAGAGGGACACACATAGAATTCTATTAAATTGCCCTGTAGTCAAGTCCTATCTCTCCAACTGTCTCCTCTGATGCTCCCATTATGTAAAGTACATGTGACAACTCCCATAAAGGTGGATTCTATAGATTGACTGGAAAACAACGCTTGAGATAAGAATCTGGAAAGGATGACTAAGGTACAAAAGAGTCAGGGGGAGCCTGGTGTGGCTTGGCCAGACTGATAGCACCGAGGTTATGAGGCTATTAACTGCATCCATTCCCAGCCTTCCGGGGAGAAAACAGGTTATACATCTCTTCCTTTGAAGTATGTTTAATATTCCTGATGTTTCCCTGGTGTTTATCCCTTGTGCTCATAGCACAAGGACCTCTGTGCTTGGTACAAAAAGTAAAAAGAAAAAAAAATGTGCATAAATAGACAATGGGGTAAGAGAGAAGGAAAGAGTAGGCAGGATGATACCCTGATAATTTATCCACGGTGAGGATGGCAACCTAGGGAGATGATGTTTTAATGGCTTAGAGGTGGAACTCATGGCCAAATATCATCTAGTAGTCACAGAAACTGTCACCAAAAACTGTCTCTGATTTCTTTTTCATTCCAGGTTTCTCTGTAAGAGAAAATAGGAAGCCATTCAACTAAATATCATTGGGTGAAGACTTATGTGAATGCTGCTAATTAACTTCTCACTCTGGCTGAAATGCCTAAGATAGGTACTAATAAAAGTCAACTGAACCACTAGCCTCAAATTTCTTGTTTCTTTCATGTTTGTCACACATCTCCAGGTGTTTTCTTTCCCCCTAACACAAATGAGCATGTTCTAGGTGCAAGAAGCATGGAAGACAGTAACAAACACATGTATTCAACATCTATTTGTAGGGTACACAAAATGTGACATACTATCTTGTTTTGGGGACCGGCATTGTGATAGTGAGCAAAACACAAATATGCAGATAGCTAGATTTGGAGATGAAAGAAACGTTAGGGATCCAACTCAAATGGGAAAAGTGTCTTTTGTGGTTCTTATGTTCTTATAGATGTGTTAGTCAGTTTTCATCTCACAAAATGCATGTGATAAACAACAAAGAAAGAAGTGACATTTAGTTTGGCTCCAGTTCATAGTCATTGGACTTTAGCTGTTGGGTTTGCTGTGATGGAGCCAAGCTGTGTACTTTAGGAAATCTGTGAAGAGGAAGAAGGTGGGCTTGTGAGGTACCTATCCTCTCCAAGGGCTCTAGTCAATGGTATAGCATCCTTCTACCATGTCACACTTTCTACAGGTTCAACCAGCTAATAATAGTGTCCCAGACTGGGGAATAAGCCTTCAACACATGGCCTTGAGGGACACAATTAATATGTAATATATAATGATATATAATTTAAATAACTTTCCCTTAATGTCTGAAAGCTATTTATCTGACATATCAAAAATTAGTGTTTAGTGTTACTATTTATCTTATTTTTTATTCTATTGCTGTAGTAAAACATCATGACCAAAAGCAACATAGAGGAGGAAAGTATTATTTGGCTTAAAATATCTTGGTCACAATCTATCACTGATGATATTGAAGGCAGGAACTCAAAATAGGAAGCTGGAGGCAGGAACCATGAAGAAATGCTACTTGCTTAGGTAGCTTCCATTTATAGCCTAGGACTACTTGTTCAGGAAAAGGTAATGCCTACAGTAGGTTTGACCCATATGCATGAATTAGCAAACAAAACAATGTCCTCCAGACAGGACCACAGGCCAATCTGATTGAGACAGTTCATCAATTGTGTTACTCAAGTGACTCTAGGGTCTGTCCAGTTGACAATAAAATATAACTAGTAAATCCAAAGAAAGTTTGCGGCCAGCGTGTGTTGACACATCGCTTTAGTCTCAGGTGGGATTCAGGGGCAAGAGGATCACAAGTTCAAGGGCAGCCTTGATCAAGAAGTGAGACCCTGTTTCAAAAATAAGCAAACATGAGAGGAAGGACTCTGAAAAGGACAAAGGAAGGAAAGAGGAAAGGAAGAAAGAAGGAAATTTTGTGGGTATGTGTTTTAAATAGGAATCTCATGAACAGAGCTGGTTGGTATCACTGAGACAAATCTCCCAGGCTATGTGTGGTCACCTCCTCTTCATGCCGTCCTGTTTACCAAAGGCATCTTCCTACTTAGTACCTAGATTAGAATAGTCAAGAAACAGATGCAGAGTATTCAGTAAGTGGTATGTTCTGAACTAAGTCACATTCGGATCCATGTGTCAAAATCCTCAGTTGCCGAGTGATTATATTTTGAGACAGAAGAAAGTTTTGTTTTAGAACTGAGGATTGAATATTGGGTGTCACACATGGTAGGCAAGGACTCCACTGCTAAGCACATCTCAGTCTTTTATTATAATGTTGCAGCAATGTTGTATATCGTTTTCAAAATTTTGAATTTTTGTTGTTGTTTCAAAAACAAATGTTTTCTTATTTTCGGTAAATTTTGCTATCATATGCTTTCCATTTCTTATTGAAGCTATAGAGATTTTCTTGGTCTCATAAATATCCAGTATTATCTGTTATTTATGTTATAATTTGTCACCTCACAGTATGTTCCATTTAATTGGAATATAATTCAGTAGATTTCTTTGGTGATCAAGTAACACATTATTATTAAGATAGTCCGAATTATTTTCTGGTACCTGTACTTCATTTATTTTACTTATTATATTGGCCAGGGTGTCTAGAATATTATAATAATCCTACTGCTATTTTTGAGTTTTATAGGATTTGTTTTCGTCATTCACCAGTAGGCAAAATTTATTATTGTTTTCTAAAACCAAAACTTAATCCTTTAGTTTTTTTTTCTTTTTCTCTTTATTTATTTAAATCCTTTAGTTTTAAATGTCTCACTAATTTTTATGTTTCTATGTTTTAAAAATATGTATCACTTTCAAAATTTTATCATAGATTTTGTCAGTGTCCACTGAGAGGATTTTTTTTTCTAATTTAATATACATAAGGAATTTACAATGCTGTTACCCATGTATTCTCTAATTAAAGTATTCTATTTACAGTACTTTCTGGTGCTTTTATTGTAAGTTTTAGGAATCCAGACTATGTTTTCTTGCCTCTATCTCTGTTCAGCTTATGCTAGTTTGAAGAATAGACACAAACCCTTTTAATATCAAGACCAGGGAAAAGAAAGAAGCAATGACTATGAAAGAAGAGATAAGGGAATGAATGCACAGGTATGCGTCTGGATGAATTAGAGAAGCTCTGTTTTGTGTGTAATACGTATAACCATAAAAAAGATGACTTAAGCAACAAAATTTATTATCTTGGATTTCTGAAGTTCAAA